TGTGTCAGTACCGACAGCAAACCACTGAAACTGTCAGTTAGCGGACACTAGTTGGTTTCCGATCCATAGCTGCGATTTTATTCGGTGAAAGGGTCATCACTTGGAAAAAATTAATTCAACTGTACATTTCTGCATCGTTTGATGGTGCACTTCCAGAACCATCCGGAAGAAGGGGATCTTTTCGGGAATTATCGAGGTTACAGTTGTGCGAAATGCGAAATATTGTGAACACTTTCTTAGTAACTGCTTCCAAGCCATCGGGAGATAATTGCCTGGAAGAATGCTGAATCTCACAGCGCAACTATCGAAAGATAAACAAACTTTGACGTTTAACTTTTGCAAGCAACTTTGTCTCCATAAATGCTGCCATAAATCTGAACGGGTTAAGATTAAGCAAAATGGCATTAGATAAATACAATTCAGCCTGCAAGTTTTCTTCATAAAAGCCATTTTACAACATAAGGATTTTGTTATGGATTTCTTAAAAGCAAAACAACTTTTTCACAAATGACCCATGAAAATCAACTTTTATGCCACCGCCATGTTACATTTAGTTTGCTTGTTTTTTTACAATCTTCGATTTTCTCTCTATATTTCCTTGGATGTAACTATATTTTGGTAAATTTAGCAATGAGCAAACATTTAAATGCGAATATCATAAAAAAATAATCTCAGCCTAGCTCGATCTGAAAAATAATTTATTTTATTCAACGTAAAATAATTAGTCAAATCGACGTTTTACGAGAGCGGACCTATTTTTTTCGATGTTTACATGTACACTTCACATGAAATTTAATAAGGCACTTAAAACTAGGCCACATAATGAGAACTATTGTAATAAATTTGGATATTCAACACGATTTTTATACCATCAGTTTCTATTATAATTATTTTGATAAGATCGGATTCATAAATCCTTTTCTATCTTGATTGATGCTTTCGTTGTGGATTTAGTAAGCGGCTAGGGGAAACGGCTCGGAAAGGGTTTTGATTGTTGCTAAATAGCTTTTGTTGTAGTTTTCAAATGGTTCTCAATGCGTTCGTCATACAACCTTTTGCAGTAAATCAATCTTGAAGAGCTTCGAGAATACACCCTTCAGAACCTTCTTCAGGGTGGGCCAACTAGACATATTCTAGTATTAATGAGGTTTTGGTGGATGCATTAATGACAAGATAGCCTTGACCAGGGTTTTATGAATGTTGTTTTATAATTGCTTTGTAGTATTTCATAAAACTTAAAATGTTACTTGGGATATCATACAAGTTTATATTAAAGATCTGTAAATTTATGAGACATCCCAAGTAACATTCCCAAAGCTAGTTTGATTTATTTTGGTTTTATAGTTGATTTTGATAAGAGTTGGAAATATAACATGCACTTAAGGTGGGTTTGATTGAGTAATATTGGTAAGTTACGGTTTTATAATATCCTAGAGAATCCCTTGGAGAACACAAATAAAACTTCGTTTTACTTGAGAGTATTAATGCTTATAACATTTCTTATGATGCACTTGAGGATGTTGTCGGACGATATGATTTATAATGGCAATAAATCTACTTCATAAGTGCTGTATAAAACTCCTCGAAGAATACTTTGAATTACGCAAATTTAAAGGATCTTATTCAAGAGCACGATAGAACAACACATTTTCTATCGAAATGGAGGCAAACAAATAGAAAAAAAAATTAAATCAAGTGGATATTTTGAAAGAAAAGTCAGTGCAAATTATAAAAAAAAAATATTGAACTCCTCCGGAAACAAAAACGGAAATGAGCATGTACCCAACATGAAATTTGGTGGCACAAATGCATCGGATGTTTTGGTCACATTCCTGACGTTCTTCACAGGTGGCAGCAACGCTCGGGGGTCTTCCACTTCGGTGTCTGATTTGCTTTCCATCCGATCAACTTCCAAATCAGCTTCATAACTTGTATTGAACTCACATTTGTTCACACAATTCATGCGTTCCCAATTTTCTCCACGCACGGATGTTTTCACCTGCGACAGCTTTCCAACAAGGCGCTTTTTGGCCCAGCGTAAAATCCCTTTTGATTCGCATCCACTGGGAACAACACTCAGGCAGGTTTCTCTGTCCTCAATGGTTTACAAAACCTTGAAAGGCAACAAAGAAACATAGTTAGTGTTCGTTTGAACTCATTAAAAACTGAATTATTACCTGTTTGAATGAAGAAAACTGACGACGCGTAGGTACAAACGTAAATAAACAGCTGTCTTCTTATTCAAGATTTCTTTAAAACCTCCAATAAAACGATTTTTTTTTTAAGTTGGTTTAATGGAGAATTAATAGTTTTGTAAAGCACAAAATAATTGTATTTGAGAATAATTGTGCTTATTTGATACTAAGTTCATTTAATATTATTTTAACCAAGTCAATAAATAATTAATGGCGATTTGCTGATGCTTTTGCATGCAAAAGATCTTCGCCATACTACACGATTGAATATCCAATGGAAATATTGTATAAAATATCCATCAAAGCTTGATTTTTTTTAAATAAAATACTGCAAAATTAAGAATTAGCTAGCTAACTGCAACTCTGTTGGTAATTTTCTATCAAAATATTTTTATTTATTAATATATATAAATGAAATTTGTTAATATATATAAATGAATTTCTGTCTATCTGACCCTTATATACTCGAAAACTGCTGAACCAATCGGGGTGCGAATTTGAATGCAGGGTTTTTTAGGACATGGAAACGTTCTTATAATGGTTCGACACCCCTCCCCCTATCTCAGGGAGGGCTCTCATACAAATGAAACAGAAATTTCTGCATAACTCGAGAATTAATCAAGCAAATGGAACCACATTTGGCATGTGGTGGTCATAGGGGGTAATCCCTTAGATAAGAGCGGAGGGGGGTGGTCTACCTCTAATATAGCATGTTTTTTTGAATCGGCGTATAAACTCAAACTAATATTGAGTCCCGAGCAAGGACGGGCACATTCAGCTAGTATATAATGAATTTACTCTGGTCATAGTGTCCCCCAATTAATTTTTTACTCATTTTAATTTTGAAACTGACTGCTACTGAGCATTTGGTGGTCATCATTCCATTATATATCCTGAGGATAATTCTAACATTTGGCATACATATGACATTAATTATTTTATACAGCTAATAAGCCCCGCTCCACCTCTAATACGGCACTGATGTATGGATGTTGTAAAATTCAAAAAATTTGTCTGTGTAGTCCAAACAACATTTTTACTCCAAAAGCACCTTTTTCTTCAATGTTGATTAATGCGGTTTATTTTACGACTATTTTTCGCTTTGTTCACTCAGATTGATCAATTATCGTGATTTTTTTAAACATGGATTTTGGAAACTTGCGCAGATTTTTTAGTTAACGTGGATTTTGTTTTAAGCGGTGCGTATCTCAACTTAAAAAAGACCTCAGTCTATTAAAAATAGGTCTCTTGTAGCTCGCTTGTCACACATATAGGCTTTAGAAAGTTCTTTTATATTTCCGTAACAGAAATGCTACCAAGTTTGCACAAAATGTTGTCGGTATCAAATCAGCTGATGACATACATTGTCTATCGATTGACCCAAATTGACATGTTTGAAGCTAATAGAGTACCCTTAAAATCAATTAATTCGCCATTACATTTTCTGGACTTTAAGATTACTTGGCTTATCAACATATAATTTTCTGAGGGAAATTTATTTTATGATGATTATTTACTGAGATTATGGAAATCAAGTCATAGAACAAATACAATTGCACTATTAAAATGGCGTCAACGTTAGTGCTCAGTTATTTGTATTCAGTTACTTGGCCGAAAAGCAAGAATGATATACTGTTTAGGAGGATCTGCTGATTTTAATGGTGTTTCGCAAACAAAATTTGACGTTGGAATTCATAACAAGAATTTTGATGCGTTGATTGTCACCCCTAAAATCTGCGTACCCGGTACGGATCGCTCCCCTTACTCGACGCCACTGGTCCTACCCATGTATCTGAACGTGGATGTACCTCTGATTCATATTGGTTTGATGTCCGTTTGTTGCGAAATTACTTTTGGCTGTGTATATTAAGATGTAGGGGAAGACAGTTCCGATGCGCTTTTTCACAGCTTTCCCGTTTTTAGTTCATGAATTTGACAAGCAGTATTGCTAGTTCAGCATTTCTGTCCAAAATATTTCAGAATTAGGAATGAAAAGCTATATGAAACGGGCTTTTTTCCCCGGGTGCATTTTGGCCTGTTCTAACGAGAACGAATATGTATAAATTCAAGGATCGACCTTCGGGTCCTCAATTTTTAGAATTACGGCAGTGTCGTAAAAAAATATAGCAACGAACGTAAGCTCTATTTTGAACAAACTGCTTCACCTTGTTGTTAAATATCTGGAATATGGAAGCTGTCGTTCAAAAATGGTTGTGACGATACATCCGTTGATGTCATGAACACATATCAGTAATTATTTCATAGTACGTCATGCTTATCAATCCTATCAATCACTATTCCTTGTAACAACTTTTAGAAAATGTTTAAAATTGTTTGCGATGAACGAACCCCTATTCTAGAACTTTCAAAATCAACTTGTTCTTGAAGGAAATGATGCTAGATCATTTCCATACTATTTTACAACATACACCTTTTTTCATTGCAACTGGAGGCAGTATCCCCGAGTCAGCATGAATATTCTGTTTTACAAGATTATTCGGGTCGCTTATCAACCTCGGATGACACTGGCACGGGAAGTGAGGGATCCACTGAATCTTTTGATAAAACTCGATACCGATAACGGTCAATGATTAAGTGTGGAGGCACGAATCGGCTGCTCTGATATCTTGACATTCTTTCCTTTTTTATCGGCTATGTTTTTATCCATCCTAGATAGAGAAGAGATACAACAGGATTGCAAGCTTTGAAGTCTAGTATAAATTTTAGGGTTGGTACCTTACGCTAGCTATTACAGAACATCAACTCGAACAGTGCATTACTAGTGAAATTCTCTTTCATTTTACTTTTAGGAGAAATTGACAACACCTTAGATTGGTGAATTTGAACATGTCAAGTGAGTCATATGGAATAAAAAGCAAAGAAACATTTGAGTGATAAATAAATGTTTGATTTTTTTTGTAGAGTACTTCCTCTCGCTTTTCATCCTAGGATGGATGTTAACCGATGTGTTGGGTAATCCTTGTGAAGGAATCAATAGTGGTTTTGTGGCTCACGCAGATTGCACTCGATATTATTCTTGTGTAAATGGCGTTGCATTTGAAATGCAATGCCCGGCGGTATTTCCTATCTTCAGACCTGATACACAAATGTGCGACTCCGGCAGTCCAGATGAATGCGTCGTGTGCCCAGCAGAGGGTCTTGCTAGATTTCCTGTAGCGGGTTCCTGCACAAGATTCATCCTATGTGTGAATGGTATCCAAAGTCTGCACGAGTGTCTCAACGGATTAGTGTTTGACCAAACCATCAGTGAATGTAATCTAGCTGAAAATGCTCCTCCCTGCGTAGAAGTTACATGTCCGGCCAATGACGATCCTGCGAATCCAACCTTCATCCGTCACCCAACCAATTGTAGACAATACTTTATCTGTGTAGCGGGTACCCCTATCCAGCAGGAATGTCCCCCTAATACGGCCTTCAATCCTACAACCAACGTCTGCGATCTAGAATCCAATGTTCAGTGCCCAGCGACATTGGTAAATTTCTTCAATAAACCATACTAATCGAAACAATATAGCTCATAGTTGTAAATATCCCCATCCTCATTCCTATTTTACCATACTCATGCAGTTGCCAATAGTAGTAATCCTATCCTTCCATTTTCCTAAAAAAGCGAACCAAGGCGACCTTCCTTTCCCTGGTATCCAAAACGTCATCGAAAGCCAATAACAGGTGTATCGGAAATAAAGGAATTATCAATGTACCTGATCCAGATGATTGTTCCCGTTATTACATGTGCATGAATGATAATTCGTTCTCTGTAGAATGCAGCAAAGGAATGGTTTTCGATTCCAAAACTAACAAGTGTGGGAATGCAGACTCTTCAATCTGCATAAAGGACGTAACGTACACTATAAATCCATGTGCAGGAAACAAAGGTATGAAGTATAAACCACACGCTACTGAATGTGAAATGTACCACATGTGTATGGGCGACAAAGTATACGATTTGACTTGCCCGGCTGGTAAACTTTACGATAGTGCAAAGGGCAAATGTGAATCTGCGTCTTCCGTTACCTGCTTGACTGAGCAATCTGATGATTTGCTTCCTCCAAATCCGTGTAAAGGAAACGTTGGAACTAAACGCGTACCTGATTATTCCGATTGTACGTCATTTTTCATTTGTGTTCATGAACAGTTCTTCAGGCAGACTTGTGCCATTCCACTTATTTTCGATGTGTTGACTAACGATTGCAACCGTCCGGAAGTTTCCGTATGTACAATTGACGTTGTGACTCCGCCAGTAGCGACCACTTTAGCACCCACATTAGCTCCTCCCTCCACGGATTTACCAATTGATGATGATGGAATTACCGGAGATGACATCATCATTCCAACGGCACCAACAGCAGCTCCGACAGTGGGACCTACTGCTGCTCCAACTGTTATCCCTACAAACATACCTGAAGCACCTACACCTGCTCCAACCCCTGCTCCGATACCTACTGCTCCAACTCCAGCTCCCACTCTAGCACCAACGCAAGCCCCAACGCAAGCACCAACACCCGCTCCTGCCCCTGTTACTACTGTAGCACCAGTTCCTGCTCCAACAACCCTCGCTCCCGCACCGACCCCAGCACCATCAAATCCACCGGGACCATACTGTACCCCTGGATTAGTATTCTATCATCCTCACCCAGATTGCGCAAAGTTCTATCGCTGTGTCTACGGAAATTTGTTCGTGATAGATTGTCCCAGGAACCAGTACTGGAACCAGGCTCAGGAGTACTGCGATCACATCTGGAATGTGAGTTGCCATTCGCAGTAGAATGCTCATGATATTTCAAGTGTCATTTCAAAGCACATAGCATCTAAAGCACCTTTGCCCACCCTGAATGCTTTCACGTAGCTCAACCAAAACGGTCAGATGACAGATGACATACGTATCACTAGTATTAGTTGTAAATCACCCTCAATAGTTTTTATACGTTATTAATAAAAGTTGATGTTCTGGAACAGTTGAAAATCTTTTTTGGTGACAATTCCGGGATATCTGAATGTTTTCTTCTATTTACTCTTGGCATTAAAACTGCCACTTTAGAGGCGCCAGTGGTGTAGTGATAACCGTGATTACCTTTCAACAGGCTCAAGGTTCATTCTCAGTCGGCCGTAAAGCCGTTAGTCCCCGGTTCATGAGTTTGATCGGTCGATAGGTAGGGTCCAGGTATGGGAGCTGCCTCCTTGGCATTGGTGCCCAGCACGGAAAACAAGATCGACGGAATACAAATCAAGGAAAAAAAAACACTGCCACTTTACGGGCTCTCAAATTTGCGAATCAAACCTTTCTAAGTCTCTACCCTTTTTGAATTTGTACCGACATTGTTTTATTTGACAATCGTGTTTGAACATAATAATTTTTATATTATACAATTTGTTGCAGACACTTTTTGTTTTAATGAACAGTATTTATTTATTTATTTCTTTATTTTGTTTTTCTTCATCGGACTTAACGTGTCTAATTGAAGCCTGATGGGGAAAAGCCTAGAAAAGGCGTAAAAACTCCATATCTTTTCGAAATACATGAATCACAATAATACAATACAATACAATTACAACGAACATTAATCAAGTATATAGCATAACAAAAAGTTATCCTCCTATGGCATAGAGTTGTCCGTGAATCAGGAAGAAGTCCTCATCATGCAGTTGAACCGGAAACAAAAAATAAACAGGTAGCACAATCCTTCACGTGTACATTAAATAGACAGCTACTCACCTTCTCAGGAGTCTACGTCGAATACGGTGACGAAAGGTTTCCGCTGCACAGTCAAAGTCGAAAAACTCGTAAAACTCGTTGAAACGCCCAGACATGAAACGTATTGGGTCATGCAAGCTGTAGTTCGCAGCACGAGGTCCAAGATGCAGGAAACTCCTCGACCGAAGAACTCGTTCGGGTGCGTAGATTTCGAATTCAGCCAAGATTCCTAGAGAGTCGATATCACCAATAAGTACTTTCACTGCGAACACGGCCTGACTAATCGTCCGCCTATGTTCTAGTGTTTCAAGACCCAGGAGTTGACAACGATCTTCGTACGGCGGAAGGTTCACAGGGTCATTCCAAGGAAGGTAACGAAATGCATACCGAACAAATTTCCTTTGAACAGATTCAATCCTCGCTATCCAAACTGCTTGATACGGGCACCATACTACCGAGCTGAATTCCAAGATCGATCGCACTAGAGAGCAGTATAGAGCTTTTAGACAAGCAGGATCGCGAAACTCGTCAGCGATCTTGAAAATGAATCCGAGTTGCCTGTTAGCTTTCGTAACGATGCCCGAGTAATGAAGCGTGAATGTTAAGGCACAGTCCAGCGTGATTCCTAGGTCACGAACATTGTCCACACGTTGCAGAAGTTGGTGATTTATCGTATAGTTGAATGCCACTGGTTTCAGCTTGCGATGAAATGAGATAATATTACATTTTTGTACATTCAACGTGAGATAGTTTCTTGAGCACCACTCTTCGAAAGTAACGATTAGGTGCTGAAGCCGCAAGCAATCGGCGAAGCTACGAACAATCACATAGATTTTCACATCATCCGCGTAGAACGATCGGCAACCAGTTGGGAGGATCAGTTCGGCCTCATTCACAAAAATCGAGAATAGCAATGGTCCCAAGTTGCTACCTTGAGGAACACCGGAGCTGTTTGTAAAATAGTCCGATTGCTCTGATTCGATTCTAACACAAAGTTCTCGATTGGTCAGATAGGACTTGAACCAACGAGTTAAAACCGAGGATACACCGAGTTTTTCAAGCTTAACTAGCAGTATGGAGTGGTCAACCCGGTCGAATGCAGCCTTGAGATCTGTATATACAACGTCCACCTGCGCTCCAGCTTCCATACTCCGAAGACATAAAGAAATGAACGGAGCTAGATTTGTTGAAACTGATCTCTTGGGATAAAAACCCGTGTTAGTCAGGAGAAATGTAATTTCTGCAGCTAGAGAATAATGCGTCGTTGATGATGATTTCAAAAACTTTAGAGCAGGCACTGAGTGATGTGATCCCTCGGTAATTTTCGACGTTTCTCTTGTCTCCTTTCTTGTAGATCGGGAACATGAATGACGATTTCCAACGCCTAGGGAACTCCCCCTGCTGTAATGAAATATTGAACAGCTTCGAAAGCGGTGTTGAAAGCTCTGAACAGCATCGCTCCAGGATGCTTGAGGGGATCCCGTCAGGGCCAGCAGCATTAGAAAATTTCAGCTTCTTGACGGCGGATTCGACGAGGTCTACTGTAACCAAGGTAATCGAAAAATTGAAAGCATCACTGGGAGTTTCCCTCACCGCTTCAGCAACTTGGGACAACGAAGCCGTAGTGTCATTGAAAATGCTTTTGAAATGTTCTGCCAGAAGATTGCATTTCTCAAGGGAATTGCTGCCGATTCTATCACCCAGGTGAATTTCGACTGGTAGCTCCTCCTCGTTTCGTTTGGTATTCACGAATGACCAGAACTGCTTTGGATTAAGCTGTAAATTAGCCTGCACACGCCTTGTGTAGCTCTTGTAAAGAATGCGGTTATATGTGCGATATTCGTTGCTCGCTGTTGAAAATAATCGTTTGGTGAATGGGTTACGAGTACGACAGTATTTACGGAGGGCCTTCGATCTCAGACGCTTCAAATTCCGTAGTCGAGCATTGGACCATACGCGTTTGGGAGAGGGTCTCCTCAATGGGACAGAATCAGTTATTGCCCGGCCGACGACCTCAGCGAAGTAGTTGACGGCTTCATCAATAGATGAACACGTGTCAAGGAACTGCCAATCTGCCTGGGCAAGCGAGTGACTCAGCGCGACGAAATCTGCTCTACGAAAGTCGAGCTCATGTACATCAACAGGGGGGTTATCGTAGCGAACAGCCCAGGCAACCAGAAGTCGTATAACAATGTACAGACAGTATCGTAAATTGCTGCAGTTTAAGTCAAAATCGCATATAAGAATGGCATACCTCGCATTATGTTGAAGTTAAATCGTATAGAATGCAAATTTCCGACTTATATGCGATAACTCATTTTTCCGTCGTACTGTATCACAAATTAAATCGGATTACATCGTAAGACTTTTCAAAATTAATTTGTTATTACAGATTACATCGTATATGATGTTAAATCAACTCGTTTAAAATTAAATTAAAATTTGCACGTATATGGCCTCCACTTTTGTACGTATAAGCCATTTCTTTGCATTATATACGAATTGTTTGTTTATATATATGTTTGTATATCATGAAAACAACTTTGAATATACGTGCATTCAGGTTGTCTGGGAGGAACAGATAGGTTGATGGAAACTTCCAACGCAGGATGATTGGTGTCGATGCCAATCAAAGGCTCTGGGGCTTCTAAGATAGAACATTCCAGTCCTGCAGCTTCGTTCGCCAGAACGAGATCAAGCAGCCGAGAGTTGCTATTCAGTATCGAGTTGATTTGCGTTAAGCCATGCAGGTTGAAACCATCAAGGAGAGCACAGCATGATGCGGGCATGTTCGAGCGAAGAACATCAATGCTAGGAAGATCGTTTGCAGGAACGTTCCATGAGAGCCCAGACTGATTGTAGTCACCAAATATCAGGGCTAGGTCATTTTGTTCTAGTCGAGAGAACACGGTACCAATCGAACTGATGTGGTTTGCAATGCTGCTCGAATCAGATTTCCGGTCTGGAGGTAGATACATAGCGCCAATGCTTATTGATCTACGAGGCGTCGTTATTCTGATCCACAGCTGCTCTAGAGAAGTGCAAACTGGAGCAGGATCGATGCAGGAGCTTAGGCGTTTGGATACCGCAATCAAGACGCCTCCCCCACGCGATTTGGTACTATTCTGGTGGTTGCGGTCGTTTCGAAATACCGTGAATAGACTGCCAAATAATTGAGATGAATTAATGCGTTCATCGAGCCAAGTTTCCGTAAGAACTATGATATCGCAGTCAGACTCAACGGCAGTCAGGAAAAAATCATCAATCTTTGTTCGCAGGCCACGAACGTTCTGGTAATACACCAACAGGCGGTCGAACGAAGTCGGTTGGAGGTCTGCAGAATGATCGATTAGCCGAAACGAGCATGGTGGTACTCTGGAACACAGAGACGGATCAGGAGAAGAACTGTTTTCAACAAACGCATACTTGCCTGATGTAGAAGGTTGGAAGACCCCTTCACCATTCTCAACCACAGGGCCAGAACGACTACGATTATATAAAGGCTGGAAATACGACGTCACTGTCAGACAGTGGATCTAATGAATGACCATAATTTGATGGTGCTCTGAGGGCTGCATCTGATCCACGACGATGTATAGTTTAGTCATTCGATGTATAGTTTAGTCAATTTTGCTAAACATGGGAGACTATGGTAAGCTTCTTCCATTATACTAAGATTTACATTTTATACCCTTTTCATTACATAATATATTATCATTGCATCCACATTTACTTAACACGGAACGTTTGGTACGATAAGTCCAACAATCAATACGAAACTAACGATTTCAAATTTTTTTTTTCTTTGATTTGTTTTCCGTCGATCTTGTTTTCTGTGCTGAGCACCAATGCTACCGACGCTAGGAAGGCAGCTCCCACACCTGGAACCTACCTACCGATTCATCAACTCATGAACCGAGGACCAACGGCTTTACTTCCCTTCCGAAGGAAGGCGTGATTAGAGATGTTATGCCGCAGAACATCCCGACGGCGCCGACTGGGATTGAACTCAGGCCTGCTGGGGTGAGAGGTAATCACACTTACCACTACACCACCGGCACCACTTAACGATTTCAAATTGGCTCACTACTTCACTACCCTTATAAACAAATACCATAAACGAACTGTATCCCGAATAGGTAAACTATCCCACAAATTGTTTGGATGATACCCCGAACACGCCGTTAAGCTCTTTTTTATGGTTATTTTTATTAGTGTAGCCTATTGGTCCCAAGCAAATCGATTAACGTACCCCATTCTA